GGGTCGAGTGGTCAAAGGAGAGAAACGTGTTTTTTAATTTTTAAAAAAAATACTTAATTTATTATATATCTAATTAAAAATATATCATATGATTAAATTTTTTTTTAAATCATAATTTTTAAATGATAATTTTAATAATATATAGATTGATTTAAAAAATAGTCGATTGTTTTTTATTTTCTTTTGAAAATCATCATCTTTACCATACGATGATTTATTAATCCTAAGAATTTATTTCTGATTCTTTCTCGAAGATGCTATTTTACTTGCTTTTTTTTTTTTTTTAAACTTGAAAACCACATAGATTCAACCACTTAATGACTTTAACTTGGATAGCAGCATCACAAATGACTTCAACTCTGAGTCATTCCTGACTCTTTTTATAAGTTCTTACCCTTTATTGTTATTAATTAATATTTTATGTTCAATCATTCTTTTACTTATTTTTATCTTTCTATTTTTGTCACAATAATCGTTCATTTCCACTAGTACAGGTTTTTTTTTTTTTTTTTTTACTTTCCTTAATAATTTCAACTGAATTTCTAATGTCCATCCCCTTTGTTGATCATATTCCTTTTCCAAAGAAATTAATATAATAAAAAATATTTTAACAATCAAAATTTAATCTATGACAATTTTCAATATATAAAAAAAAAACCAAAAAAAAAAAAAAGGTCGCCCAAAAACAAAAAAAAAAACCCTATTGTCGTTTATTTGGGGTTAAATAATTGGGCTTGAACCCAAAAATATTAAACAAAAATATCATTGTAATTTCCAGCAACTTGGGCTAGGCCCAAAGAATCTCATGATTTTTAAAAAATGAAATGAAGATTGAAAGTCCCACGGCCTCAAAAATAAATTTTAAGAGAAAGCTTTTTTTCTTTTTTTTTTTATGGCATCCAATATTAAACCATAATATTTATTTTGGGTACATATGAGGATACAGGAGAAAATGTGGGAGCATGTACCTTAATCTTTCTAAAGAGGGCAATTACTGTTACATCAATTCTGAGTTAAAGACGGAAATTTTTAAGGCCCGAGTATCTTTTGGAGCATTGACTTAGGTAAGGGAATAAGGAATGAAATTCATCAACTGTATTGGATACTTTATTTAAAATAAAGCAAATGAAAGGAGATGGGGAAAAAAAAAAGAAGTACAGAATTTCTCATTTTCTTTAATTATTATAAGTCAAACCTTTAGTCTAACAGTGGTGGGCTGCTGGAAATCAATCAATTTCTTTCTTTCGTCCTTTAAAAGTACGTTCACAGGAATAATATGAATTACATTTAATAATTTTAAATTGAAGTAAACATTGAATATCAAGTAATTAATTTTGAAATAATCGTTTTAATAAATTGTTAGTAAAATAGAGTATTTCTTTTGACTACTGAAAAATTATTTTTCTAGAGTAGATGATGTATTTATCTAAGCATTTTTTTATCTTAACAATCTCAAAAATATAATTGTAGTGATAAAATTTTAACCACTTGAACTGATCGACGTAATAATACTACAAGCAAAAGTTCAAAAGGCTTTTGTCCATGAACAATCGTCTTTATATCTTTTAATTTCTTATGGGCCTGTCTTCTTAATAGTTCAATTCTCGTTTCTTGGCCTGCTGGTATTGGGAGAGTCATTCATTATTGGGAAGGTTATATTTTGCTTATATTTTCTAAAAATATTGGAACTAAAAATTCAAATATGGCTGAACTATTGGCTGTACTTTAAGCACTTTTCAACGTGGTTGAATGATCATTGGTTTTTAAGGCTATTTGGGTTCAAGTCATTGGATTTAGATCATTTCAGTTTAACTTTTTGGGTTTTAAAATTAAATTAAAAATCATTTTGAGTACATGAAAGCTTAGTATCTCTGAACAGTTGGCTGGTCCACCAAACTCTGCCTTACACCATCCAAAATCAACCTCTCTGAACCTGGCTTGTGTTAAATCTGACACTACGAAGGATCGAACGGGGCTAACATTTGGCTGACCTCTAATCACCATCAACTCTGCCGTTGATTTCATGTACTTTTCAGTTACCTTTGCCTTGGCCTCTTTCACTAGCTCTACCGCATATCCTAATGGGTTTTGGCATAGTTTTCCTGCAGTTGTTAGAGCCGCCGGCTATCCAAGTGCGTTCCCATAAAATCCTGATGGCAAGAGAGGGTTAAACTTGGTCTGTGCATTGTCAATGCAGATAAAGCGAACATCTTCATTGGATCCAAGTTCCAATGATTTTGCAGTTAAGATATCAAAAGTTGAACATCGGAGATTGTGGGGGACAAATCTACGAAGAGCTGAATTTTGAGTTGGTCCAAAGAAAAATGAGCGATGAACCAGGCTGTCTGTTGGCGTGATTGTACCTTGGCGATAGTCTCATTATCGTACTCGTGCTGCACACATTTTGTGAGTGGTCTCGAGCATTCAAGAGGTGCCTTTCCCAAACTGGTGGAGTTGAAGGAGCAAGTGCACCTCGTGCCATTTCCCCCATGGCAGACATGAATTGAATGAGCCCAACAGCATCACTCATGGCGTGGTTAAATCCGGGGGGGGGGGAGATGAGACCACCACATTTGAAGCGTGACACCTGTTCATTTACTAAAAAATAGAAGACTATGAAGTCATTGTAGCCTTGTATCTTTGTTTTAGTAACTCGAGCAAAAAGAACCAATTAAAGCCTAAAAATCTCCACAAAATGATTAAGTTAATTCTGCGACCTATAACTTATATTTGAGAAATAAATTGTCCTATTTTATATTTATTTTATATGATTAAATAAAAGATTGAATTTTTTTTGAGAAGTAAAAGATATTCATTGATAAATAATTGAAATACAAAACAATGACGAGAATAGCAAACAACGCATCCATATCTCTTGTCAAAAGAAAATTACAATCGAAAAGAAGGAACCAACCGTGTTTGGAAAATTTCTTTTTGACATTTCTAAATTCATTGATAAGTACTGTGTACCTATTCTCGCTAGATCTGGTTTCCCCATCATCAATCCATTCACATTGAATTAAATAGATCCAGACATAGGTTTGAAACGACGAATTCTATAAACATCATAATATTCCAATTACACTTATAAGAAGAATACCTGAATTTGCTGCAATGGGCAATTTAGCACATCATTGGAGCCAGGGGGACTTCATAAAGAAGCTCCTCGTAACATGAAAATGGTGGATGAAGGGCATCACCAAATTCCTCAAGTGTAACAACAGCATCAGCCATCAATAAATAAGACATCTTCCCCGATACAATCGGCCATAAGCTTCCGGTTTGGCCCTTCCCTTAATCTACCAGCAAATGGATAATAGAACACTAGGGTTGCTGCAAGTGCTTCCCTTATAACTCTAGCAGGGTTCTTTCCTTGTTTGGAAGCGTTGCACCGATAAAAATGGAGCCCCCGAATTTGGAGATGTCCGAGAGTAGTTTACACTCATGAGGGACGGATTAACTGGGGCGACTAGCTCCGGCTTATGCCTTCATACTCTAAACACTAGAGAAGTGGGTGGTAGCAGTGCCATGGCTAAAAACTTCAAACTAATCTATTAGAAGACCAATTGGAGAGTCCTGTTTCTCTTCTTCTTCTTCTTAATTCTTTCACTATATCCTTGTGAGATTTATAGGTGAATTTCCTTTTTCTTTTTGTGGGTTCAGCTATTTGCAGGTGCACTAGCTGAGATCAAAGAAATATATATGTGGTTTAATAAGATTTTGACAAGCACTTTGCCACCAAGTGTTTTTCCCTTTACTGACCGCCTAAACTACATGAAATCAATGTCGAATTTAGTTGACACTTTTCATAATAAACCCTAGAAACCATTGCTAGCTAGGTTAATTAATGTGTGCTTTTAAATATACATCTTTCAATCGTTGCTAGCTTAATTAATGTCCTGCACCAGCCACCAGCACCTATATATTTCTCTTTGTCTATGGTTGGCATAGGTGACAAAAAGACCGAATTTTTTCCTTTGCTGTTTGAGCTCGTATCCATTGAAAAGCTATAAGAAGATAATTTAATTTTCATGAATTTTTTAAACTTGAAATAATTAAACTTATTTGGATCAGTCTAAGAAAGAAATTGATTGGATAAAGTCCAATATATTATCACCACTTAATAAAAGTAAATAAATAAAGCTATTTCAATCATTGTCAATGCCAATATTGATCCTCTCTTTGAAATTATTGTTGAAAGTGATTCCTTGGTTGTTACCTTGTGGTTTAATTCTATCTCTGAACGTTCCTCGAAGTATAACACTGTTTTAAATAGGTTCTGCAATCATTATGCTAAAATCAGGAGAGTTTTTTTTTTTTTTTTTTCATATATTTAGGGAAACAAACTCCTTCACTGATTCCCTTGCTAAACTTGGTGTATACAGAAGTACTGACCTTGTAGCATGGCTTTAGCCTATTTTCTTTATTAATAAATTATCTTCAACTTTCAAAAAATAAAAATAAATAAATAAAGGGTTCACCAGTTAACAAAAAAAATAAATATAGTTAAGTGCCAAATGTTAAACCTTAAATAATAAAATTTTTTTGCTAATTTAAATCACATGATGCTTTTCTATAATTTATCCAAAATTATATTATCATTAAATTTTTTAAAATATAATGATCTAATTGAATTGATTTTGATTAAAAATCTAACAAATAATTATACAATTGCAAAGGTATCTTTTGGTTTATAAAATGGGAATTCAAATTATTCCATTTGCACATTAAGTACATTGATGAGTGCACCGTAGCATTTTTTTGAAGAGTAAAATATTTTATTAGGAATAAAAAAAAGCAAATACAACAAGGAATAAAATCACCCAAAAACATAAACAAACTTGAGCTCCAAAGAGCTTACAAATGGAAATAATTTATAGTCCAAAAAACAAAAGAAAAACAATAATTAAAAAAAACCCACATAAAAGGCTATAAGCCTTTAATTTCAGCAAGCAACACCCTGCACGTTTGGTATAAACTACTTAACATGAGAGCAAATGAGTGTGACTAAATTGCATAGACTGTTGTTATGCATTTATTTTACAAATTATATATCCAATATGGTTAAAATTAGTTAAAATATGTTACCCTCATGCACCAACAGCTGCTGTCTCATCCTTCAACAAGCCATCCAGCTCCTTCACAAAGCTTTTCATAGCTGGGGCTGGCAAGCAAACTGGCACCACAATACCGTCCTCTCCCTTCTCATTCTTTGACGGCATATAAAAGCTTATTAGCTCCCAACTAGTGGCTGGTCCAAAAAAGGCTGCCTCACCCCACCCAAAATCAACTTCTAAAAACTTGGCACGTGTTAAATCAGACACTAGGAAAGATCCAACCAAGTTAACATTTGGTCGACCTCTAAGCACGAGTAAATCTGCTGTTGATTTCATGTACTCTTCCGTAGCCCTTGTCTTGGCCTCTTTCACTAGCTTTAATGCATATTCTAATGGATTTTGGCACAGCTTTCCTGCAGTTGTTGAAGCCGCTGGGTAACAAAGAGCATTCCCATAATATCCTAATGACAAGGGAGGATTGAACTTGGACCGAGCATTAACGATGCAGATAAGGCGAATATCTTCGTCAGGGTAAAGTCCCAAGGCTTGTGTACGACAACGCCATATGCATGCAGATAAGACATCAAATGTTGAACAGCGAAGGTTGTCAGGGACAAATCTACGAAGAGCTGAAATTTGAGTTGGTCCGAAGAAAAAAGAGTGGCGAACCAAGTTGTCTGTTGGAATAATTGTACCATATGTGCCAACCGAATCGTACTCGTCGTGTAAACATGTTATGAGTGGTGAGTCCCGAGCATTCAGGAGGTGCCTTTCCCAAACCGGTGGGGTTGAGGGAGCAAGCGCACCTCGTGCTATCTCTCCCATAGCAGACATGAATTGGGATAGGCCAGCACCATCACTCATTGTGTGGTTAAACCGGTGAGCGAAGATGAAACCCCCACATTTCCTGTTAATTTTTTTTTTAAAAAAAAAAACCTCGTTAGAATGTCGTGCATTTAGTTTCAATGATCAAAATTTAAGTTTTAACAATCTCGATTCAGTGATATCAAAGGGATAAACTAGAGTTATAAAAAAAAAACCTGAATTAGCAGCAATGGGCAATTTAGAATTTCGTTAGCGCCAGGGACATCATAGAGAAGCTCCTCCGAACATGGAAACGGTGGGTAAACCGCATCACCAAATTCTTCAAGCGTAACATCAGCATCAGCCTCAGTAAACAAGACACCTTCTCCAGTACAATCAATCGTAAACTTTCGGTTTGGCCCTTCCCTTAGTCTACCTGCCAAGGGATAATAAAACACTAGGGTTTGAGCCAGTGCCTCCTTTATAACCTTGGCAGGGTCTTTGCCTTGCATGGAGGAGTTGTACCGATAAAAATGCATCCCTCGAATTTGGAATCGGTGACCCTCTTGGTCATCAATGTCCGAGAGTAATTTACACTCACGAGGGGTTGGCTTAGCTGGGACAACTAGCTCAGGTTCATGCCTACGGACCGTAAACACTAGAGAATTGGATGGTAGCAATGCCATGGCTAAAAATGATGATCGGAATTAAAGCTAAGGTCTTCTTTTTCTTCTGCTTATGTTCTCTCTAACTATGATTCATGTGATCAGATTTATAGTGCGAGATAATTACAAAGATTTAAGCAAAAATATATAGTATATATGGTTTAGATGTTGACAATCGTTTTGCCACAATGCAGGAATCTTTCCTAGCTCATCCACCAACCCATCAGCATAAAATTAATCTTGAATCTAGTTGAAATAGTCACTATTGCTTAAATAAATTGATTAAAGTGCTCTTCAAAATTAAGTAAATTTTTAAATTAATTGAATGATTGAGCATAGATGAAACAAATGATCCAAGTTGAATTTTTTTCTGCCTAATAACTTTTCTTTTTATTTTTTTGTCTAAATTTGAATATCTATAACGTATAGCATTAACTTTTTTTCTTTTATTTTGCTAGCATAATGCAAAGTAGAACTGTTAACTGGCGAATAACTTGGTCTGACTCAAGCGGCGGACATGATTTTTTAAGTTTTTTATTTTTTTTATTATTAGATAATTATTTTATTTAATTTTAATTTTAAAATATTAAAATATGGAAAATGATTCATTTAACATTTTTTTTCTAGCCCATTGATTAACATTCATTCAACAGTTAATTATTATATATAAAAATCAGCCCCTCGCTTGTTTTCTCTTTCTTCTCATTTTGTTGCCTGTTTTCTCCATACAAGCATTATGTATAAACAATTTCTGATTAAAAGTTTCTCGCTCAAATGAAGACAATTTAGTTGAAAATCCTCTAATCATGAGGAGTTCAAGCTATGCTTCTGATCTACAATCTTTAAAAGAAATCTTAATTTGATAATTTCCATTTAAAAAGATACTTAATATTTGATTAATTTTTTATTTGCCACTAATTGAAGTGTTTAACACTTGTTTTTCAACAAAGGAAGCAACACGCACAAAAAAAGGCTAATGGAAATTTGAGTTTGAATAAAACAGGAATAAGTAGAATGGCAAAGAAAAAAAAAAAAACCCAACAAAATGCCACGAATTCTGTTTATTTTGCACTTTCCTTTCCTGTCCTTCATAAATGAGAAGAGGAAATTTCTTTTCCTTCCCTTCATATTCATAAATGGAAAAGATGATTTTTTTTTAATTTAAAATAGTGGATCTCTAATCTTAGTATTTACAATAGCTTTGATCTCGGAAAATTTTGCTTTTTGCATTGGATGAATAAAAGAAACAAAAATAACTAGATTGCGAAAGAAAATACGAGGGAAACAATAAAAAAAAATTTAAAGAAATTATTTAATTTTAACCGTTAGATGAACGTTAATCAATAATCAATCGATAAAAAAAAATGTCAAACTCTTTTTTTAAAAAAAAATTTGAACGTAGATAGACTGTTCAATTTCTTATATCAAAATAAAATGTATCGTATTTGACAGTCTAAGACAAATAATTGTAGGTCGTACATTCGAGATTATCTCAATAAATGACCACTGATAAGATTCGAACCCAAAATTTTTTTATTGAAAAAAATAAACTTTAACTAATTGAGTCAACTATTTATTCGTACGTGAAACTCTTTAGTTTTACACTCGTTTCCCGTAAAATAAAATGTTTTTAATATTTCTATAATATTTAAAATTTAACTTAATAGATTGTGTTCAAAGTCAAACTTAAATTTTGAAAATGTCAACCAAATATGCCCGACTCGATCAAGCCTTTTTTTTTTCTTAGCCAATGAAGATTTTATTAATCATTTAAAAAATCACATAGCAGTTAACATACACCTTATCTAATTGCACCAAATACGTTCCAAGCATGTTAACTCAAATACTAAACAATTCCATGCTATCGATTCCCTCTTTGGTCAACGTGTCGGCCATCCCATTAACTACCCTCGATACATTGGTCATCGGTACTTCTTTCAACTCCTCATTGTATGAATCAATTGATAAAAAATGTCCCACATCCTCTATGGTTCGAACTTCACCTCTTAATACTAAGCATCGGCAACCTTTGAATCGATCATGATTGTGACACCTCTAGTGACTAGTTATGAAAATTGTTACCCTTTGGCTACTTTATAATTAATTTATATATTCTTTAAACACTGAAATTTTAATTTTGTAATAATTTTTAATAAATTACTTATTTAAATAAAGTATATATTAAACTTTATTTAATTTTTGTCAAATTTTGTATACTTAAATCAATGTCTTTTAATCTATTGCTTTAAATTGTCAATTTTAATTTTTAGTTAATTATTTTTTAAAAAAAATCTCACAAATGTTATCTAATTTTTTTTTCTAAATCTTATAGGATCATTCAAAAAATTATAATGATTTATGTATAGTGATTAGATCATCATATTTGATAACCATTTAATGATTTTATGTGATAGTGATCATAGATCATCAAGAGTGATTAAATTATTGTTTTTGAAAGTAATTTAATTTCTATTCAAAGGAGTGATAAACTTTAATTATCGGGATAAGATGATATATAAAATTAATAATAATAAATATTACTCATTTAATATATGAATTATGAACTTGTTTCTTCTTTAAATTAATTTAATTATTTTATGTAATAATTTTTATATTTTCAAACTACTATTCATTATAACAAATTCAAAAATATTTTTTGAGATTTTTAAAAAAATTTTAAATTTATATATAATTTAATCTTTTGACTTTAATATATTATTTTTATTTTCTAATTCAAAATTTTTTTACATAATTTACACTATAAAAACTAGTTTACTATTAATAAATATATATTTAATTTAATAATGTAATCATATTTGTCATGAAGTAAATAAAATATTACTAATATTTATATACAAATTTTATCTTTAAATAACATTGAAATTATTAACTTATACATATAACTATTATAGCGTGCTATTATAATGTGCATAATTATTTTGATACTTTCGAAAATATTTAATTTTTAGTAATATCAAACACAATAATCTTTATCTTAATAATAAGATCACTTCGATAATTAAATTATCATAATGATCATTAAAATGTTATCAAATGCTACCAAAAAGTACAATTGAAATCTTTCAATATCCTAAATTCCTAATATACATACATACATACATACATACATACACACATACATATATATATATATATACACACACATGAAAAAAGAAAAAAAAAACTAAAACACGTAAAGTTTGTTAGAAAATCAATAGCATCAAACTAACCTACAGCGATTGAGACAAATGAAATGTTAGTGCAACCCAGAATAAATCAACCTTGTCATTATTTTAATCACCTATCAACTTATTCATTTCAAAAAAAAAAAAATGTCAACTGCATTTCCTTTTAGACTTGACGTATTATTTGACTGTATAGCCTCTCGCATGCAATTAATATATGTGTGATGAATATCAAATTTGTCTTTTTGTTTGTTCTCAGCCAATAATGGATTTTCATTAATAAAAATATATCAATACATTGAGCTCATTAGATACAACATGTCACAATACACTAAACAGCACATCTAAATTCTTTTGCAGCCAATCATGAAGAAGGCCAGAAAAATTCACACCTAATTTTGTCGGAACATCTGCAAAAGCATTGACTTCCCTCTAACTGTGTATAATGTCAAACACCCTAAGAACATTTCTTAGTCTATCAATCTCTTCGAAGACCTTCCATTGTTTCTAAGGTTGACTTTAGCTTTCGCACTCTAAATCTTAAAAATCACGTTTAATTGTTGGTTCATGGTGTTTGATGCAACTTTTGAAATGATTGTTTTTATTGTAAAAGCATAAGCATCAAAATTTTAAGTGCAAAAAATAAATGAAACTATAGGTTAAAGCTTTTTATTTAAAAAAAAAAGATTAAAGCTTGTTTAAGAACTGGTAATTTTATATGATAATAAATATTTAATGAAAATTTTTTACATTATCATTTTATCTTTCAATAATTTAAAAAATTATTTAAAAAAATTTATTATTTTATTTCCATCCAATTTGATTTTATTTGCTTTATTTTAATTAACAAAGAAATTTTTTTGAAAAAAAGATGATTTTCATGATATATGTTCAATTATAATTAGTGTTATCATTTTAATCACTCGATCTCTCTCACTTAACATGGAAAGAAAAAAAAAATTAAAAAGTTACTTTTTCTAATTCCTTTAAAAATTATTTCTTACCATAATATGCAAGCATAATACAGGACAGAGCAGTTGACATAGAACAATTGACATAGATTGTGACATGGAATGTTAAATGAGAAATTTGTTATCTTTTAACGGTCACCTAACCAAAATTATATCAAAAATATTATTCTTAAAAATTGAGTGATTAAAAAGATCTCAAAAATATTAGGAGACAAAAATATTATATTATTATTTTCAATATATATTTTAAAATTAAATATAAATATTATATTATTTAATAATAAAATACTTCAATACTCAAATTGGGTTGCCTTGAGAACCTAGGTGTGTTCTCAATAAAAAAACAGTACTACGCATATACAGAAAAAATTAGGACCATAAACAGTAATGCATTAGACATTTAATTAAAAAAATCATATGCAAATATTTTTCTCTTGCATTTTATTTTTTTTGATAAATTTTTGGATTTTATTTATTATTTTTTTCAAATTGATTCATGCATATTTATTTATGTAAAATGTAATAAATTTATAAAAATTTATCTTTTTATATTTCATATTTTCTCAACGTCATCAAAATTTTTTTGTCATCAAATCTTAAGGCTTCTCTAGTTATGTTTATGTAAGCAAAAAGGAATAATTAATGAAAAATTTAGACTCAGCTTAATTACTGATTGTTTCAGACATTTCGGAGGAGAATTGAGAGATTCAATATTCAAGTCTCTGTCATAATTGTGTAAAGTATTATTTAATCCTTTTAAAATTTGATTCGATAAAAATGAGAATGTCTTACTTATCACCCTTGTTCTCCTCCTTCAACATGCTACTCGTATATAAAGATATTTGATAAGGTTTATTATGTGGAT